AAATAGAGTAGTGTTGAATACGAAATCCTTGTTATTTATTTATTACACTTTAATACACATAGACAGTGTAAATGGCGGACTTAACACCATATGGCGTTATCTAGCAGTCGAGCGTCGAACAGGAATAACAGAAAATACAGTTGACGATGCAATACAATGAACAATATTGTTAGTATTATAAATATGATTGTTTGTTTGCCACCTCTTAGCGACTTAATGGCTTCATCATCATCATCATCATATCAGCCATTATCTGTCCACTTCTGAAGGTACGCTTCCCCCTATTGGGCAGTTTTTTAGCAGGCGAGTTGGCAATCGCTGGTAGGCTTTGATATTTTAAGAAGGACACTGCTACCTATCCCTCGTCCATTAAGTCCCCTTAGTCGTCTCGTACGACTCCTACGGGAAAGGAATGGGTGGCCTATTCTATGACGGGACTACATTTGAATTAAGCATACAATTGATTTCAATCTATGAAAACCTTACAAATTTTTGACTGAATTACTTCTATATCGTCTAAAACCATGCGTACCAAGATACGCTCATAATACAATGTGTAGCTCTATTTCAAATTACGTTTCGCAAAAAAAATCCAAAAAAATTGTAAAAATTACCATGATATCAACACGAGAGTAAATTCTATCAGTTACTAAAATAAATATCGAAATCAGTCTATAATCGGTGAAAATGTCACGCACTTTACATATACATTTTTTTTTTAGTAACTTGTTAATATTATTGTGGAAAAGCACCTCTACTTATAAATCTCAGTGGTTTCAACTTTGACTCTATTAGAAAGCTATATAGGGGTCGGTATCTACTTTCAGATTGTGTTTGAAGTCAGCCCCGTAACTGAATCGAAGTTCCGTGATTTAATTAACTTTTGTACGAACTTATAATACCTCACTGTACTTCTCCACCTGTTCCTTACTTGATTGATGAACAGAATGATGATTGGCCCCTGAATCAATCATATTGCTTTTCAAATAAGTTTATTGCCCACCTATATGATTTTAAGCGACATCAAAGTGGAGATTAATTTACTTGTTAACTCTTTAGAATATCCAAACGGTACAAAAACACTACAGTATTACCATGTACGATATTATGGCTAGATTGGTTTTTAATTCGACTGTATTTTGTGTGATTTTCAACCGACTTTAAAAAAGATGTTCTGTATTTTTTTTTTTTATGTTTGTTACCTCATAACTCCGTCAGTTATAAATCGATTTGATTTTTTTTATCTGAAACGACACACTGAGAGATTTTTTCCGTAGAAATTTTATCAAAATCTACTCAACACTAGAGGGTGTCATGTGCGCGTTAACGATCTTAAAGAAACCTTAATACGGACTTAATACGGTGTTTTTTTTTTGATGGATGATAATGGAATGGTAAACCCGCCTGCGCTAACGGTAAGTAAGTAATGCAAATAAATTATCTATTTATCTATACGCTGGCGGGGCACCAGTGAAGGATGATACATGAGAATGAAAAGGCAAGTCAGTTAGCCCATCGTAATGAATACACTTGGAATTCAGCGCGATAGTTTCCAGGGAGGACCACGGTGAGGTCGACCTGTTTGGGTATATTGTCAGCAATTCAAGTGATAATCCGCATTACTAACAATCCCTTCCCCCCCTTAATACGGTGGTTATGTTTTAAAAGGGACGCTGCTGCCTGTCTGTTCTTGCCCGTGCTTCTTAAGACACCCACAGAAAAAGAAAGAAATTATATGTATTAATACTTTTTGAAAAATCCTATACTGTAGTCTCTAGGAAAAACCTTGGCAGGGAGCTAATTCCACAGCGTGAGCATTCACGAGTGAAAACTCCTTTAAAACTACACTGTATGCGATCTTATAGCCCATTTTACCACAGACCATTTACCATATTATCATTGGTGAGGGTCACCAATCCATATAGTATATCTTGTGAACTCAAGCTACAAAAGATAATACAATTACGATGTTGTGACGTACGTACAGACCAACAGTATAAACAGATATGACGAAATAACCACTAAAGGTTACATTTTTGTACAATCAACTACGGAACCCTATTATTATTAGTATTCTAGTCATTTATATTGGTATTGTATGTGATTTATGTATGTATATATTATGTAAATATATTATTCTATATGTTTGTATGTTTATTTATCATAAATTGTTATCTTTCAAAATATTTATTTAATTGCAGAGGGAGTACAGCCATTTACTCCCTCTGCTTTCTCTCTCTTTCTTTCTCTCTCTTAGCGTAATGGTTGACTAGTAAAGAATGCCATCAAGCATCAAGTCCGCCCTGTAGACATGTTCTAACGTGTGCAAAAGTATAAATAAATAACACATATCTTCCTGGACATGCTTAAACGTATTGGATTCGAGTAAAACTCATAGCAGTTAATATTTAAAGAACTTTAAATATAATGACAATTTTTTTTTTTTATTTTGTTTTACAGAATTATTTAAATAGTTAAAGACTGTCTCCCACAAAAGAACTGATTTCAATTGAGACAACACAAGTTATTTTGTTCTAAAAGTTAAACTTTTGAAGCGATTTTTAATAAATTTCTAGGCCTCATAGAAATTTTTAAAAAATCGCTTCAATAGTTTATTTTTTAGAATCTGTAATTGATCAATCAATCCTTTGATTTAATTTTGCAAATCGCTTTCAAACTGAGTAAGTAAATTGGTACCTATTATTAGTTCCTCAAAATCAATACAATTGTAAATCAATATAAATCCCATATCAGCCATTAAGTATCCACTGCTAAACATGAGCAACCCCCCCCCCCCAGGTTTTTACAGTAGTCACGCGGATCGGCAACTTCAGTTAAGCGTTTGGTTATGTTTTAAGAGGGCCGCTGCTGCCTGTCCCTTCTTGCTTGTGCTTCTTAAGACACCCACAGAAAAAGGAAGAGATTACACGTATGTAAGTATTTACCCACAATTTCCCATATTTTTCACCGCATAATCACATTTGCATTTTTCCAAAGGTTGACTGGGAGATGTAGCATTAAGTCTGCATTTTGTACTAATTTCTTTTTTGTAATTTGTTCAATAAAGAATAAATAAAATAGTCAAACATCTACAAATCTCATACATACCTATATATTAAAAACAATACACCATTTTCATGTAAAAATCGGCCCGACATCCGGTCGATTGTAGAAAGGGACTCCAGCAGATACGTAGGTACTGACGCGGCGGTGTTGGCGCGAACTCGCCTGATTTATAGCCCAGATTATTAGGGGGCTTGTTTTAATGTATTTTGATTTATAGTAGCTAGCAGGGTTACCAGATACCCTTTTTGTTTTTACTCAAATATCAAATTTATCTTTGAATTGGTGAGATTTCTTTCACTTTTATCAGTTTTTCCTAATCGTAAAATTATATCAGTTTTCACTACATTTTGGCATATAAGCTCTTCACGAACGATGAAAAAATCACTTCCCTACGCCTGATCTCTTCACCTTATAGTGTTTCTTTCATTGTTGTATTCCGTTTATTTCATCATTCATCAATTATTCAGCAAAAGCTGAATTTGTACCTATTGCCAAGCATACGGATACTTCACAATGTATTTATTTATATATGTTCTACTAACATTTACCTGAGGGAGACTTTATACACACATACACACACACACACACACTTTAAATATACACCTAGTATTATCGTCTCCAAAAATTTCTCAACTAAGTACTTCGTTTTTCAAAATTTCGCGAATACAAAAATATTTTTGCCAATTATCAGTAAAAAAATACCCAATATGGCAACGCTGGTGGGTAGGTACGTAAGTATGCGGACGGAGAGCATGAGCACGCTCTCGGCATATTGAACGGAAATTGTTCAAAGATATTGAGAGAAGATAGGTACCTAATTAATATTTTTTTTTGCAATGACATATTTTATGTTATGTTTATAACAATAATTCAAAAATCTTTATGTACTCGTACTTAATGAAACATGAACATAACCAGCTTGAGATCAGAGGGAGATTTTGTATAAAAGTTGATTGCTTGGGTACCTCTGTCCCATTCGTGTTTCAACCGTGAAGCAGTTGTGTTTGCATGACTGTGTTTCGGTTTGAAGGGTGGGATATGGCGTGAATTTACAGAGTACAGAGGAATAACACCTGAGTCCTCAGGAATGGCAACGCATGGGGGTATCATGGGCGAAACAGTATACTCTGTTATGTCCATGGTACTGCTCATGTCTATAGGCGACGGTTACCACTTTCCATCAGGTGGGCTGTCAGCTTGTTTGCCATTCTAAGTTGTATAAAAAATATATATATATAAGTGAGCGAGCCCACCTCACTCGGATTAATTTGAACGAAAATATAAATAAATTTAATTTCATTTATTAATAATTCCATAGGACGTCCGATTGTGAGTAATAGGTAAGCTTTACGAAATTGAAAGTCAGCACACAAACATCTTTTATTGGATTTGGGGAAAAGACAAAAGGCTTTGTTTGAAGTTGATTAATATTTTAATTACATAAATACAATGGAAAACTGTTTTTTTTTTTTTTTTTTTTAATAAACGGAATCGGTAAGGTCTTCTTTATGGTATGAAAATGGGATTGTAATTAATAACATTGTACCAAACCATATCAGCCATTAATTTTCTATCGCTGAACATAGGCTTCCCCCACAAATGAGGGGTAGGGGGATTGCCAGTAGATACCACGCTTGGCAATCGGATTAGCAAACCCAGTTAGGTTTTGGTGATGTTTTAAGAACGACGCTACAACCGATTCCTCAAGCATCAACCCTTAAAAGCCTGATTTTTTAAATCAAATAAAAAAATATAAAAGTGTACCTTTTACTGTGTTTACTAATGGGGAAAAATAGTAAAAAAAAATCAAAACGATATTTTTATATATTTATTTTGAAAAAACATTTAGTAACATATAAACAGCCAAATATTAAAATAAAATCGATTGTAGGCGCCCAATGCGATTTATAATTTATAACCCCGATATCAAATTTGAAACTTCAGGTATTTAAGGGTTAAGTTCTCTTGGTTGCTTCTTTCGACACCCACGAGAAAGGAAAGGGTGGCCGATTCTATGCCGGGATCAAACGGCAAAATAACATTTTATTATAAATGTAAGTCACTTTATTTTGTTGCCTCTTAGCATCTTAACGGCTTAACCGATTACAATGAAATTTGGTATAAACGTAGGTATTATATGAGATGGAAAAGAACATAGACTACTTGTTAACCCGATCTGTGACATATCCCAGTCAACGAAGTCGCGGGTAAAAGAAAGGAAAAAAAAATAGTTGCTAAGTTTTTATCGGACTTCAAAAAAACGCAAGAAAAATAGCATTGCGTATTTAACTATGATTGAAATATTTAAAAGTAGGCACTATTGTTATTTTTAAATTCAAGGGTGTAACTAATAAATAAAAATAAAACATTATTATAGTTTTTTTTTTTTTTATTTATTGTTCTATTAATCCGTAAAAACTCCTTAATATTGCTGCATCGCAATAAGTGACAGTTGTCGCAAACATGCCAGGCCTACTACAATATACAAGAGGTACGATGCGCTCAAATTAAAAGGAAAACTGACCATAGACAAAAAAACATAACCTAGTACCCAATTCTTTTCATACGGAATTGTCAGTTAGTACTTTAACCCTTTTAGTGCCATATATTTTTACTCATATCTTCTTAAAAATGCCAAAGAAATCTTTGTCGTGTTGATGTCATTTACCATTGTCTCTAAAAAAACTGTATCTCCTCCAAAAATTATCCAATTTTAATATATTTTTTTTACACCAAGTTAAACAGCGACTGATTTCACGACCGCTATGACGCTCGTGGCACTTTTAGTTGCAATGCGCACGAGCGCGATGACGCTCGTCGGCATTCAAAGGGTTAAAAATGTATGTTCATTTTTTGACACGGACAACACATACTCACGGTGTTTTGCCGTTTCAGTGTGAGGCGAGACGTTAGACGTTTCGACGCAAAGAGTCATACAACCCCTAAAGAAGTTTCTGATTGAAGTCGAAACAATAATTGGAAATGATAAAAACACAACATATATATATATATATATATATATATATATATATATATATACACACCGCCTACGCTAATCTGGAAATTCCTTAAAAGCCTTCGAACCCGCTGCACGTTTATCCTGGTGCAATGGGGTGTTGTATCTCTGCCAGCGACTGTGGATCGCAATCGCAGACTATGTTCCACCTCCCGTCCTTTGTGACCTTCATCCTGCACGAAGGTGGATCTGAATAAGGCAACCAATTGTGCTGTGGAAGTTGCTAAGTTCTGACCCAAATATATTTAGGTTGTCTTTTGACTCGAAATAAAACGAAGACTGCATACTTATAAATATAACGTAGGTGGGGTTATCATTCCATTTCCAACTAATTGCACTATTGTCTAATGTGTCTATAATGTAGACTTCACGTCGGCCGTACAGAGGCATTCGCTGTACACCGTTGTTGGGCAACAGACAACAATTTGGCTAGTTCGTTAGCTACCGGCGTTACATTCGTCTCAATCCATTCTTGGACCGTCCTCTGACCAGTTACGTTCATGAGATGGGCGGTCAAATCGTTCTTAATTTGCACTATTTCTGTGAGTAGGCTGAAAACAAAAAGAAAAACAATAATAAATAACAAATACATATTACACAGCGCCATCTAGTTTTAAACTAAGCAGAACTTGAACTATGGATACTAGACATCTGATGATGATCATCATCATCATCATCATCATCCAAAGACTGTCATAAGGAACTCTCCCGTTCCTTATGACAGTTTACCATTGGAAGGATTGTGCCAGTAGTTTCCACGCTTGGCAGGCGAGTTGGCAACCACAGTTTGACTTTTGGTGATGTTTTAAGACGAGCACTGCTGTCCATCAATCGACTATTAAGTTCCCTTAGTCGCTTCTTACGACATCCACGGGAAAGGAAGTGGTGGTCCATTCTATGCAGGGGCACACATGGCAATAAATATATATTGACTTAAATAAAAAATTCTATCAAATAATATGAAAAACAATAAGATAATGATTTAATATTAGTGTAAGATACTGGCAACATACATATTGGTTTTGAAGGCGACCTCTTGTAATTTAACAGGATTTATATAGTTGTGTTCCAGTTGCCACGAATTCATCCATGTCTCTAACCTGTACATAACATACAAACAAAAAAAATCTTTATTTTATGCAACTTAGAATGACAAACAAGCTGACGGACCACCTGATGGAAAGTGGTAACCGTCGCCTATATACATGAGCAGTACCATGGATATAACAGAGTATACTGTTTCGCCCACGATACCCCCCATGCGTTACCATTCCTGAGGACTCAGGTGTTATTCCTCCGTACCCAGTAAATTCACGCCATATCCCACCCTTCAAACCGAAACACAGCCATGCAAACACAACTACTTCACTGTAGAAACACGAATGAGACAGAGGTACTCAAGCATACGACTTTTGTACAAAGTCTCCCTCTGGTGTCTCTATAACATAAATAGGAATCGTTACTTAATGTAGCTTCTTTTCCTTGATTAAATAGGTTTTGAGTTTATCTTAAACAAACGATCAAATCTTTCCTCTTTATAATAATTTTTTTATACAACTTAGAATAGCAAACAAGCTGACGAACCACCTGATGGAAAGCGGTAACCGTCGCCTATAGACATGAGCAGGACCATGGACATTATAGGGTATACTGTTTCGCCCATGATACCCCCCATGCGTTGCCATTCCAGAGGACTCAGGTGTTATTCCTCCGTAACACTGCCATACAACTTCAAACCGAAACACAGCCATGCAAACACAACTTGTATGCAGTCGTTTTTGCCTCTCGTCATATAATACAAATAATAAAAGACACAACTGTACATTACAAAACTGCAGTCATTTTTGCATCATATAAGAACATACAAAATACATACATGCTGTCACTCAAGTACAGCCGACATCGCTCCCTTAATGAGTCGAACAGTCGTATCAGGAACGCCAGCTGTTCGCCGGGCCACTGCTCAACGGGTAGCATCTCGTTAACTAAGAGTTCTGGAAAATATTATAATATAGTAAGCAGAAACAAAATGGCCGACATAGCCCGAAGGATAAGGAAGCTGAAGTGGCAATGGGCTGGTCACAGTGTGGGGTGACCCCCCAATTAGATGGAGTGACGGCCTCAAATGCATTGCAGGAAGTCAATTAAAGCAGGTGGCTCAGGACCGTTCCTTATGGCAGTTTGTGGTGAGGCCTATGTCCAGCAGTGGGCGTATAATGGTTGCAATGATGATGATGGTGATATGTTTTCAAAAAATAAACCGACATTAAAAAAAACCAAATTAATGCGATTTTGATAAAATTTCTAGTATTTTTTTATTTTTTATTTAATGTTACCTCATAATCCTCCGTTTATAAATTTCAAGTTGTAAACAGTTATATATCGTCAAAACTTCATCTTTTTTTCACTGCTATATATAATCCTAAAAACCGATTTGGATAAACTTTTTATCAGATTGGTTCCATAAAAACGTTATCAAAATCGGTTCAGTAGTTTAGTATTTAAATAAAAATAACTGCAGTCGGTTTTTTTGTGAAACACAATCTTAGTAATTATAAATTTAAATTAATTGATATAACCTTTGGTTGAAATACTACACAAGTGGTCACTTCTTACCATTAGACAAGTCATTTGTCTTGCACAATACTTTAAGGCAGCACGCCAAACTCGGCAGAGATATGGGCAGTAGCTCGCAAAGCGTCGCGTAATGGTCATACCTGCAAGTAAATAGAATAGAATAGAATAAATATTTATTGTGAGCTTGTAAACTGCAATTTTTCATAAGATGTTATTAAACGTGCTTAAAAAAATACAGCCATACCCAATCACAAAAAAATAGGTTTTTACGTATTTTTTTGAAAATACAATAAATTATTTTTATAAATTGATTGTCACAATATTAAATAAAACGTTAACTAATACAATATATATATATTAATTTTCAGTTGCAGTTGATCAACATCTGTTAAGATACATGCATAACACCTCGTCTTATATATTTAACATATTTCTAATAAATTAAGCATTTAGAACAGTTTGTTTCTTCTTTCAGTAAATTTTCTTTCTTATCTGTTTTTTTCTTTGTTGACGATCATCTGGACACTGGGTCTCACTATCGCCTATATTTGAGATCGCGCCCAGACATTTTTTCTTTCTACAATTTTAAATTAAATTTATTAGAATAAATGCTTCGAACACACGACAGTGTTTATTATACACCTCGTGCTCGCGTACAGATCTTGATCTCTCAAATTAGATCCATTTTAAGAATCAACTAAATTAATAATCCACAAAGATTAAATAACGTTTTTATGAAATATTTAGCACAAAAACAATACCCTTTAAATATCGATGATTTTTCGAAGCAGGACTCTGTGAATTAAATTGTTGCACTGATGAAGCTAAACCGGTGATTATTACATTAAAATATAATGTGTGATTATGTAAATTTTAACAGTAAAATTATATTACCGTTAATAAAGTGTGGACTGAAAGACGATGTAGTGACAAAAAACGAAAAAGGAATGTTGCGTTGGTTTGGTCATTTGGAGAGGATGGATGAAAGAAGAATTACGAAAGAGATTTATCGAGCAAGAATGAATGGAGATGTCGGTAGGTATGTAGGTATGTTCGTATGTTGATGCAATTATCCTCAATCCTCAACCGACTGGGATAAAATTTTCCATACACGGACGTATGTCGACCAAATAATGGCGATGTGTACTAGATGAAGAAGGGCCAAATTAAAAGTACCCGTAACCGAGGAGATGTAATTTTACAAAGGTTTTTTGTATTTATTTTATTATTTTTTTAATAAATTTATTGTAAATAACAAGAAATAATCATTGAAAAAAAATAGGCACTCTATTGTTGAATTTTCGTCATACCAACTAATCATCGTTCATTTTTTTAGGTTCAATGGGGAGAACTAAAGATTTACGCATATGGGAGCATTTGGCGTTCCATTTGTAATAAGGTCTACAAATTCAGTAATGCTGCCAAAATGCTTCAACATCTTATCACTTGTCCAAAATCTCCAGAAACATTAAAAGACTCTATGAAACTTATAAAAGATAGCTCGTCCAAAACCAAAATGTCTGGAGTCAGAGATAGAGACAAATGATTCTTTTATAAGCGTCGAACACTACAATAAATGCTGAGTTTCATGTATATAAAAACAGAATATATATTTGTATTATCGATACTACATTTAAATCAACATCTGTTTTTTTAGCAAAATATAATTATAAATGAGGAACTAAATGCTTGTAGAAGACCAATTTAAGAAATGTAATAAACTCTTATATCAAAACCTAACCTCATACGTTAAAAGTTTGAATACAGAAAGTAATCCTCACACTGAATACCTTAGCCAACAAGGAAAAAGTAATGAAAGTGTATGAGCAGGAATGATAAAAAATATACAAACTGAATTAACATCATATCCACATGTTGTTCCTCTCTTTCTGTTTCCTTAACTTGCAAATATAAAGATTAGTAAAATAAATATAATAAAAACTGTTAAAAGGAGTCAACGATTAAGTTCCTTGTTGATAAAATCAAGATGAAGATTCTACACAAACACTAAAATTGCCTTGTGCTACAAGATGGGGAAGTTGCTATTTTTGTCAATTCAATTCTAGTGATGATTTCTGGACGAAGACAGGGGAATGTATAGGAAAATGTTATTTTACGAGAGCGACCAGAATATAACATTACATTTAGAGATGTACAAATTCAAAAATACAAACTGCTTGCATACTTTCTACATAGCATATATTCTGTGTCGATTATATAATCTAGTAATGTAAAAAAAGAAAACTTTTGTCATTGACAAATAATTGACATATCAAACATTTTCTATATACTAGGCAGCCACTGCTATGAATTGAGAACAATGAAAGCAACTGAAAATGTTCATTCATTTGTTATAACTGGAATCTTAAACATTTGAATGCGAGGACATTCAGTTTAATATATTTAGAAGCTTTCATTGAGCAAGTAAATGAACATAACAGTTTAGACGCAGAGCCATATGATTTGAATCACATTTTTATTTTATCATCTCCTTCTCAAAATCAAATTAAAAGTTTTTTATTCTGTAGTAATAATCCTTAGTGGACGTCTTGCCCTGAATGACGATGATGAAGTACAAAATCATAAAAATTTGGTTATTTACTTTTTACGACTTTAAACACTCAGGTGGATTGCCCATCTCTATCTACATTCGTTCAATTATATTTTCATTCATTTTTATTTTTGATTTATAATTTTTATTTTATCATTCCTTCTATGTAATTCCTTGTACTTAGCCCTGAACTTCTTTATTTACTTATTTACTCGTTCATTCGGGTTCATTCGGTCATTCGTTCATTCATTCATTTATTTGACACATAAAACAGATCATAACCATAAAAAACTTAAATAGTAGTTACATTTGTGATACAGCTAGGTTACAATCCAATTACATTATGTGCACAGCTCGAGTAATTCATGTAAACACAAGCGCATATAAAAAAGAAAATACATAAAATGCTATATAAATATATTAAAGACTAGCTGTTGCCCGCCACTTTGTCCGCGTTTCCGTCGTTTTTCGTAAAATAAGTAGCCTATGTCCTTCTTCGCGGTTCAGTGGTTTTGATGTAACAGGCACATTTCCCTTCACTGCTCTGCTCCTATTGATCGTAGCGTGATGAAAAGTATACTAAAACCTGCCCAGGAGTATGAAGAATAATTGTACCAAGTTTCGTTTAAATCCGCCGAGTAGTTTTTGTTTCTATAACGAACATACAGACAGACAGACTGACAAAAATTTTACTGATTGCATTTTTGGCATCAGTATCTGTCACTAATCACCGCCTGATAGTTATTTTGGAAATATATTTCATGTACAGAATTGACCTCTCTACAGATTTATTATAAGTATAGATAAAATATTTAAAAAAAAATCCATATGTTCAATCAAATTTTACAAAACAGAGAACAAGTTTTTTTCTAAAGGGTAAATATTTTGTATCGAAAATGTCGATGGATTTGTGGTCGAGCAGTAAGTCGTTATAATGACGACACATCCTTACCACAGGATTGTAATAACAAGTGTTATTTCAGTAGACTTGTAAATAATTTATGAGTAGGATTACGTGCTTTGTACTTCATATAAATATTCAAATTTAACAGTATACATTTCTCGTTGGTTACTTTTTTAATAAAAATTTACCAGAGGGAGACTTTATACAAAAGTCGATTGCTTGGGTACCTCTGTCCCATTCGTGTTTCTACCGTAAATCAGTTGTGTTTGTATGACTGTGTTTCGGTTTGAAGGGTGGGATATGGCGTGAATTTACAGGGTACAGAGGAATAACACCTGAGTCCTCAGGAATGGCAACGCATGGAGGGTATCATGGACGAAACAGTATACTCTGTTATGTCCATGGTACTGCTCATGTCTATAGGCGACGGTTACCACTTTCCATCAAGTGGGCCGTCAGCTTGTTTGCCATTCTAAGTTGTATAAAAAAAAAATTAAAACTAAAATAGAACACTGAATTTTTTATTAGTGTTTTCGTAAAGTTTCTATACTAATAAAAAACTTTTTTATTTCGCTATGAATTGTAATTATGGAATATGTCATGAACCAAGTGATTAATAGGATTCGATTAATTAGACGACACATGTACAATACAATATGCACCCTATACATTCAAAGCATAGGGTGCACATTGAATTGCAATGAATCGTCATTTACCTATTATTAATATTCGAAATGCATGCATTATTTGTTTGGAAAAATGAGTTTTTTTTTTCAGGATAAAATAAACAAAAAACTATTCAATATTATAAAAATAGTTTGCTGTGGTCTCGAATCATATATTAGGACTAATAATGAAGCAAAAGTCGATTGCTTGGGTACCTCTGTCCCATTCGTGTTTCAATCGTGAAGCAGTTGTGTTTGCATGGCTGTTTGGGTTTGAAGGGTGGGATATGGCGCGAATTTACTGGGTACAGAGGAATAACACCTGAGTCCTCAGGAATGGTAACGCATGGGGGGTATCATGGGCGAAACAATATACTCTGTTATGTCCATGGTACTGTTCATGTCTATAGGCGACGGTTACCACTTTCCATCAAGTGGTCCGTCAGCTTGTTTGCCATTCTAAGTTGTATAAAAAAAAAAACTTCTGCTAATACTAATCGTCTGCTACCTTATAAATACAGTGCGTTGATTAACGTAACTCATTACTTGAAACTGGTGTTAGTATTCATTAATAGGGATTAAATTTTTTTTCTTAGAATTTTTTATTACCAAAAAAAAAACTCGAAAAAAACAACATGTATCTATATGAACGGAACTACACAATACAAGGTATTCATTATATCGTAGATAGATAATTTATTTACATTACTTACAGCACACAAATACCCTTCTTTCCCTTCCCTCATGCGTGTGCCATAGTAACACAAAATGGTCACATCTCAGTTTATTGCTTTGCCTTTAAAAGAGCAAAACATTGATATTCTACTGTGGCCAAGAGTCAGCCTTTAACTCTCCACTGTTGAATATAAGCCTTCCCCTTGGCGAGTATTGCCAGTAGTTGCCACGCTTGGCAGGCGGATTGGCAACCGCAGTCAGGCTTTGGAGATATTTTGAGAGGGACACTGCTGCCCATCCCTCGCCCTCCCTTAGTCGTCTCTTACGATACCCACGGGAAAGGAACGGATCGTCCCATATTGCGGAAGCGTTTGTTTGTTACCTAATAGCTCCTTAATGGCTTAACCGATTACTATGAAATTTGGTATAAACGTACTACATGATATGGGGAAGTATATGGGCTAATTTCCTTCCTGGTCAGTAAACATCATGCGGACGAAGTCGCGGGTAAAAGTTAGTTTATAATTCAATATAATTCTGAATCTAGTCCATCACTTGGTCCACAACATATGGTATATACCTCGACCAACCAGTAAGAAATATCCCTCCGAAGTTAACTGTCGATGAATAAGTTTCCAACTCTTTGCTCCACGCCTCGTGGTTGCTTACATATCGGCTCACTGGCGCCACCATCTGAAATAGTGGGAAAATAATGTTACACTGGGTTTGCTGGAAGAAAACTCTATTAGAGTTAAGCTCGCCTTTGTACATTTGATTATCTCTGTCATATTCTTATAACTGGTGTGTACAATAAAGAATTAAGTTTTTTTTTTATTTATTTATTTATTTACAAGAAACATAGTAAGTGCAAATTGTACAATGACATTGATTGTAAATCGGATATTGACATATTCTATGGGAAATATTTATTGTATCGAAGCACTTAACATACATTGATAACCTAATAAGTTAATAAGCATAGTTTGGTAGTTTTGTTTTTGATTCTTGTTTTGTATGTAGTTTTTATTATTAATTCTTTTTTGTATTAAAAATCAATCTATTTTATTTCACCTCTGTGAATGTTGAGTACAACTATAATTGGATTGCAAACTTATAATGCTATTGTTGTATTCTATTGTTAAAAGTTTTGTTTGTAAACTGTTGTTGTACCACAAAAATAAATAAAATAAAAGTGTATAGATGTTACAATAAGTATAAGTCCTCATATTTCGCCATAATTAGGCATGCAAATATTTAAACTTCAAAAGAATAAATGTTAAATAAGTCATTAAAATTCGAAATGTTATATAAAAAAAAAATACATCAAAAATGTCAGACACTTGTCAACAATAAAAAAAGAAAGAAATGTCACTGTCAAATCATGGACTATTGATAACAGCTGCACTGTAACACGATAGGTAATTCGAATAGGTAGATAAGTAAAGTAAGTAACACTGAGGTTCACACCAAGAATTGTGTATTGCCCGTCCAGGACTTTTTTTAATGCGCGATAATCTCCCTTCAGTCGTACCCTCTTGACAGAGTGGTCATGATGTCCATGATTATAGTAGATTGTTGATAACGCTCTTCCTCGCGTTTGAGATCCTCACAATATGTCTCCATCTACTTCTGGTCATAGCCGACCAAGAGCATTTCACAATAGGCTGCTGTGTGGTTTTGATGAGGTCAGTCCATCGCGTTGGTGATCTACCCTGAGAACGTTTGCCTAGTACCGACCCTTGGACAATAGACGTTTAATACAGTATTCATTTCGGATGATATGGCCGAAGTACTTGAGAATTCGTATTTGCACAGTTGACGGTAATCTCTCTCTGATTTTCAGAATGATAATGGAATAGCTCTAAGTTTAAAAGTCTTTAACCAGTGTGTGTTGCCAGTGATGACTTATGGAACCGAAACATGGTCTTACACGATTGCCCGTATGCAAAAGCTTGAAATTACTCAACGGGCTATGGAGAGGGCTATGCTCAGAGTCTCTTTGTGTGATAGAATCCGAAACAAGGGTATTCGCAAAACAACCAAAGTAACCGACATAACGCGAAAAGCAAGCTAAAGTGACAATGTGCTGGTCACATAGCTCAAAGAAACGACAACCAATGAAGAAGAAAGGTTCTTGAGTAGTGTCCCCGTACGGGATAAAGCAGTGGAGGACGATCCCCACTAGATGGAGTGACGACCTCAAATGCATTGCAGGGTACCAGTGGATGGAAGTGGCTTAGCACCGTTCCTTATGGCAGTCTATGGGGGAGGCCTATGTTCAGCAGTGGACGGATAATGGCTGAAAAGATGATGATGATGAATGTAATACACTGGCAGGACACCAGTAAGGGGAGTATAAAGCTAGTCAGTTGGGCCATCGTGACGAATTCAACAATAAATCAATCACGATGGTTTCCAGGAGAAACCACGCGGAAGTCAACGTGACAGAGTCGCCTGCTAGCACTGAGGTTGCTAATAAAATAAAGCTTACCTTATTACTACCACTGGCTCCTTTGTACGCGGACGCTGCCCACACCTGGGGGAACAGTTGGGCGTACATACTCCACATGAGTGGGTCCAAACGGAAATACTCAACCGTGTTGTAATCCCACACCACTGGTTGTACAAGCTCGCCTAGTTTGTACGCTGTAAATTGTTTTTAATTAGAACTTATAGTAATTTCCTGCCAAGCAACTACTACTGACCCTCCCCCCCCCCCTCCAATGGACAGCAACTACAAGGAACGACCCCATTTCTTATGGCTATCTATGGGGGAGGCTTATATTCAGCAGTGAACAGATAAGAGATATGATGAACCAGTGACATAGACTTAGTTCAGTAAAACACGAAGTAAGAAATTTACATAAAGATACCCAGATTTTAGCACTTAATCCTCTCTATCTCGCAAGAGATTGGCATGAATATAGATAAATAGTACAAAATTATATTTCATCATCATCATCATCATATCAGTCTTTAACTGTCCACTGCTGAACATAAGTGGCCACCTTGGGAAGTTTTGCCAGTAGTTGCTACGCTTGGCAGGCAGATTGGCAACCGCAGTTGTGCTTTAGAGATGTTTTAAGTAGGACCCTGCTGCCCATCCCTCGTCCTCCTTAGTCGCCTTATTCGACACCCACGAGAAAGGTAGGAATGGCCGATTCTATGCCAGGACCACACGACCTTTAACAAATTTTACCGAAGATATGAAAATTATACTTACTTACATTTTAATATTTCAAAATTTACAGGTCTCAACATGTCGTCCCAGATAAGAACAGTTAAATCCGGTCTTTTCTGTTTTAAAAATAATGCTACACTTTGTATATGCTCCAAATATAGAGATTCTCTTATTTTACACTCTTTCGTTTGGATCGCTATTTGACAGTCCATGCATTCTGCTAAGTGCCACGCCTGGAAAGTAACATACAAGTTACTGTTAGTAATCTGAATATATATAAAAAATCTTATGTTTGTATGTTCGTTCTCCGAAACCGCTCAAATGATTCTAATCACAAATTAATTATTCATTATAATTTATAGCCTACTCACACATATTTATACTACACATTTATTATATACTACATAATTATTATATAAATATTATAAACACAAACACACATACATACATACATAATTTATACTTTATTATATATTTATTCTATAATTGACAAAAATGTCGTATCGGACGACACACCGCGTTGTGCATTGGAGATGTGCACAAAACCGGTTTTTAGCCGCCATGACAGGGTAACTGCGTGAGCGCTTCCCCCCTCACCGCGACAGTCGAAATTCTACCGCCTTGTTTATAACTTGTGTCGCTCGATATCTCACTGCTTTCTAAATGTTAACACCGTGCTTATTAACTTTCATCTTTGTCTATCACTGTATCATTCTTCTTTCACTCCTTCTTTCTATTGTGTTGTTGACTGTATTGTGTGTAATCTTCCTGTGCATTAAACCACTGTGCTAGCTACTTGGACTGCTTATTTTCAACGCTTGATAAACATCATCGTTACGCGGCAGCCATACAATAAACACGCATCCCTCACATCAACATCCATAAATTAATATATTATTTTTTAATATAATAGCGACCATATTAACTTACATGTATTTTAGTCAAGAAAGCTGGACTAATTTCGGTATCATCCGGGACCAAGTTTTAACTGTTTTGTTTAATAAGATACACAGAATACAGCATGGCACTATTATTGATTTCAATAACACACCTTTTGGTTAAAACTAGGTTTTTTATAAACATAAATTTTATTCAAAGGCTTTCTTAATGTTAACAGAACTCTTACAGAGTTAAGCTCGCCTGTTGTACATCTTTATTTTATATATATTATATGTTTGTAATTTTTTGTGTACAATAAAGAATAAATAAATGTTTCTTTTAACGAGCATCACATAAGTACTCAATCAAGAGACACCTAGTACGTTTCTTCAGTCTTGCCATAACAAAATTGTCACCAGTGTACAGTTATATTCAGCTATATTGGGTTATCATAACAATAAAATACTTGTTTGCTCCAATTTGAGAAGTATAATAATTTTAATTTTGATAAGAAAAAATAGATCGGGGTTTACTAAGTACATAAAAAAAAACTTGTGACTAACTGTCTGAAACACACTTCAATCAGATTTATCCGACTAATATTTTCATGCCCATAATATGAAATATTTCTTTCTTTCTCACCCTTCATATTTATTGGACACAGAATTTGATTTCATTTTCATTTATTTATTTGCCTATTACATTGATAGAAAAATAAATAGAAACAGAATACATTACATTTAATAAATAAATTACTTATATATATTATATACATAATCCCTAGTAAAAAAAAAAAAACAACTAGTAAAATTGTTTGATTTGAGTCAAATTTTAAAAACTAAAAAGCTAAATGGTGAAAAAGTTCAAGGTCATCAATTTCACAACAAAAATAATCACCTCATCAGCTCCAATGTGCAAGTATTTTGCATCAGGTTGCACCTGCAATGCTTGGTCGAGCATCATCTGAACTAAACTCTGAGCTCCTGGCTTCGACGGGCAGAGTACAGATGGGGACAGAGGCACCTCCCTAAACCTCTCAAAGGCTGGATGTTTAAGGACAAACTCCATATGCCCAATTGTCTGGATTAGTTGTATCTGCAGTTACATTTAATAACAATCTTGTGTTCAACAAATGTATGGAAATTCCGTCATGATGAAGAAGACATTGGTTAACATTATTAAATTAATTAACATCACAATACATCATTGTGCAGGGAAAGGATTTTTAGTAATGGGGATTAGTATCCCCATTGCTAGATATATACCCTGGCAAGTTGACCTTTAAGTGATCTCCCAAGAAACCATTGTGGTTAATTTCTAGTGAACCAATCACAATGACTTAACTGACCTGCTTTCATCCACAGTTACCATCCTTCACTGGTGTCCCACCAGCATAAACTATTGTTGAATCAGCCATTAACTGTCCATTGCTAAACATAGCTTCCCCCATAAGGGGGACTTGCCAGTAATTGCCACGCTTAGCAAGCAATTTGGCAACCATAATTAGGCTTTTGATGATGTTTTAAGAGGGATGCTAATGCCCATTTCTCCACAATAAGTTCCCTTAGTGGCATCTTATAACACCCATGATAAAGGAAGGGGTGGCCTATTCTATGCCTGTACATAGGTACAGCCACTAATTCAGCCTGAATGAATAGTTAATTAAACTACTAATAATATCTAAATACTTACAACATCCAACCCAGTTTCTTTGGCAAATTTTAATATATATATCACTTCTTGCAATGAGTACATATTATCTCTATTGCAGTTAGTCAAACTGCCGATATCAATTAATTCTCCAGAGTATGGGAATGTGTCTTCCCATTCTATAAGGATGCCTGTAGCTCCCCATGATTTTGCATTTAATAATACCTGGCAACAGTATATTATGTAAAAGGCAGCCCAATAGACTAATAAATAATAAAAAAATATTTACAGGTTAAAAATAACTGGTGGTTACTTGATCCCATAAGATTAACACCCACATCACTTTGCTATTTTAACTGTGTGGTCCCAGTTATACCACAAAGGGAATACTATCAGTAATAAAAAAGTGATTGAAAATTCAGATTGAAGAAATACCTACTACTCCTTCCAGATTAGATGGAGATGTTGGAAGACATTTTTTCAAACCTATTAATAATTAAATAACTACATAAAATAAAAATTTCTTAATAATCAATCAAATTGTTTATAATTACTCCTCTCCATCCAAAGGTTGCCTGGATAAGGTGGTTGGTTGGTGGATAAGGTCACCCATTGTTTTCTCATTGTGATTATTTATTGTAATTATTTATATTTATAATAAGTTTACTATTGTAATCTTTTGGAGGAAACAATAAAGAGTATCTATCTATCTATCTATTAATAAGACATGCTTATGTATTTTTTTATTTTATTTATTTACCTGTTCTAAATATGGAATTTTGAGTGGAGCTCCTTTCAAGTCCAAGTGCACAATTCTGAAATAAAATTGTATATTATGTTGTCCAATCTTTTTTAATAGAAAAAAGGTATCATACACTTAATAATTAACTTCAACTGCTTTAATATTCGACATTTTCAAATAAGTATTTTCATATATGGTCTGACAACATAATAATAAAAATACCTCTAGTATTAAAAAAAAACTTCAATTACGTAATAAAAAAAAATAATAGATTGTAAAATCTAATTCTTTTCTCCAGATACACAGATTTAAATAATAAAAATGGATATCTTAATAAATAAGATCATTATTATTTTCCTGGCTTTTTTATCATTATCTATTATGGGATTTATATACTATAGTTTTTATTAAAAAATAGCAATAATAAATCAATTAAAGCACGACTACTCATTCAATGAAAATTACCCTTAAACACATTAAAAAAAAAACTTTTAATAAAGTTAATTATTTTTTATATACCAACCTCTGCATTATATATAATGAACCCTAAGCTTTAGTACTTATTTATTTAAAACAATAACTAAAAGCCACTATATAAAAGTGTGAAAGAACATTAAATTTAAACCATTTAATTATTTTTAATAATTAATTTAAATATTATTTTGAAACTGTTAGACCAAAACGACACTTAAGTAAACAAATTACAACTGACATTGTAGTGTCAGTCAACTATCTGTCTACTGTCAATATTATTTTTTTTTTTTTACGAATCTTAAAGCCATAGATAAAGAACTCTTAAGAAACCATACCATAATTGTAATTAATATTAGATTAATAATTTAGATTCAACATAGTGATCATTAAATGTATAACATGGTGATCAAAAAAGGCGGGAAACGTTCAACTTTTTTTTACAACACAGGGGACAAACGAGCATGCGGCTCACCTGATGGTAAGTACAGCCGCCCATGATCACCCACAACACCAATGGAATTGCAGGTATGCTGCCTGCTTTTGAAAAGGGAATATGATCTTTTTTTGAAGACTATGTTGTCGTATCGGTTCGGAAATACTGCTGCTGGAAGTTGATTCCAAAGAGTGGTTGTGCATGGAAGAAAGTGACTTGAAAAACGCACGGTGGAAGACCGCCACTTGTCAAGATAGTTGGGATGAAATTTTAGTCTATGGCGGGTTGTACGATATTCTATAGAATGAAACTAAAATTAAAATACTTAACGCTGGCAGAAATGGTCATAAAAATAAAGACCGATTGCCATTGTAGAAATGAAAAAAAGTACAAATCATGTAGAAGGTAACACACTTTTATTCTGATTCAATAATTTTTCTGCACTTACGCAGTTAATACAGTTATAACATTTTTTTTTATTTTATACAATCACCGTTTTACCGATAAATTATGTTTGTAAATTTTTATTAGTACAAATAACAATCATAATTATCATCAGTTGCCGTAGGTAATGAAAACCATAGCAATCAACCCAATCCAATAATAATAGATTAAAAATTATGAGTGTGGGTTAATTGTATTGGGAAATTGTGTAACCTCTTTTATGTACTTACTGTTTTTTTTTTTTTGTATATGTTTTATTTAATTTCTTTAAATATGTAACAATAGCTAATGTTATTTGCGTGCTGTAAGTGATGCAAATAAATTATATATCTATCTATCTAATTTTTGGATTTTTAGCATTTCAAGCAAAATCTTGGATATTTGTTAATTGACAATAAATAAATATACAATTTTTAAAAAGCAAACTTTATTCAGTATTGATACGAAATACGTAGGTAAGTAGATTCATCCATCAAACTTAACTTCTAAAATACTTTGAATATTTCATACAAAAAATAAATTCATTGATTGCACTATCGGCTCTCGGTGACTGAAATGGCAAGTATTGTTTACCATGGGATCTACATATCGGATATAATACAATCATACAAGTACAGGCCATCCATTCGTTATCAAATTCTCGCACTGCCTTCAATCAATAAGTGGCAAAGGAATCTACCGACAGAATCGTCATCGCTGGCAAGTCCATGACATAGAATGAGACGACAATATGCGCTGTCTTGTTCACTCTCATGTGAGCGCTGACCGAAACGATTCTACCAAAGATTCGTTTGCTAATTAATTAGAGGGTTGGTTATCTAATTTTAATCTAAGAATTGGTACCTTCCAAAGTGTCTAAAATGACTGACTTTAAAATATGAAAATGAAATCTAATAGGTACCTCTTTACTGGTAGCATTCTTATTTCATACTGGCTGGTTGCTATTGCTGAATTCAAATTACAACATTTCGTTTTTCTTACAATTCTCGATCTGCTTCAACAGTTCTTTATTGTTCTATAATATTTTTTTATTAAAGTCATAAAAACCTAATTCTAAATGTCAATACAAGTACTATACTCTCCTTAGGAGACTATAAATAAATACATACCTACTACAATCTAAACTAAACACGCGATTCAAATATAAAATAATACCTACATGAATTTATTAAAACCGGTCAAAACCGGTTACAAGTGGTTACATTATGAGTAAAAACTTTCATAAACGGACACAACACAAAAATAGGTACTTCATTTGTTTTTTTTTAACAGTGTAATATGTAAACAAATGTATAATTTATGCTAATTATAAAGATCTAAATAGGAAAGATCATTACTGTTGACCTTTCGCATAAGAATGTAAGTATATTCTTATGCTCTTTGCTCAACAGAAATCTTTAAAAACACAATTAACTTTATCCACCACTTATTTAAATACAGAATTATAATAACCTAGATATAAATTAAATAAATATAATTCTATACTGTCACACTGATTATATCATATATTTTCTAATTTTACTAAAGTAAACATGTCTAAAGTAATTAAAAATCATTTTTACACGAATCATTTTACGATTCAATTCGTATAATCCACCGATAAAAGTGTACTAGTCCATTAATATTACACTGTCACCGCAAGATGTCTATTAAACTCGGCGGGTTTATATGAAAAAAATAATGTCTAAATCGTTAACAATTCGTGTAAAGCAGCTTTTTAACCCTCAAGCGCTTACATAGAGTAACATCACATAATGGTCTCTATTTTAAAATATTAAGGCATTTTATGTTTACATCAATTATGATAGTAAACACTTTTATAGTATAATAAGGCACCAAAACACTGATTCTTTTAACTTAGATATATTGTATCTATTTTTATCCCTATTTAGCTTGCTGTACAGCTCTCATGGTGGTAATAGTATCACCATTTCAGCCATTAATTATACCCTGGTAATATATCGTCATAGTCGTAGAATACTGACGGATCTTTATATGTAATATTCGTCAGACGACTATGACGATATTTGAAGTCGCTGCAATATTGGGGGATCGGCTTACACTGCACGTGTGCAGGGTATGGCAACACCACACTTTAATATAAGACTGTTATACCATAATTACCAGTATTCAATATATAAAACTATGAAAATACCTATATAATTTGATTTTGACTTTATATAGCTTTATTGAACAGTAACTTTTATAATAATATACCTAAGATGGGTTTTAAAATCACGCATGTTCCAAAAGAAATGTTCTAAAAAAACCCTTATACTTTATTAAATTAGGTAAGCAATATTTAGATACAAAATTAATTTTGTGAAATACACATATTACCTACCACTGAATTATTATTATTTTGTTTAATTCCAATAGCATTAATACGCGTGATCACTAATATAAAGAAGTCATATATAATCCGGTTTGTAAATGTATTATCTTATTAAAAAAAATTTATCAATATATCGGAGATTAATCACTAATAAGAAAGGTCATGTAGCCTGCCGTATGGTTCCAGCATAGAATAGATCATCCCTTTCTTTCCCGTGGGTATCGTAAGAGGCAATTAAGGGAGGACGAGCGATGGGCAGCAGCGTCCATCTTAAAACATCTTCAATGCCTAACACACACCCCAGCTGCCAAACGTGGCAGCTGTTGGCAAAACTCTTCAAGGGCTTATGTTTAACAGTCGATAGTTAAAAGCTGATGTACCTACTAATAGTGGTCATTCCTCTACACGAAATGTTAATTATCTCAAGCGTATTACAATAATAGTAACGGAATTAAACATAATAATAATAATACAGTTACCAAAATATCTTTTAGATTAACCACTTTTGTCACACGCAAGATACGTGTGTCCACTTATAACTATCAAATCGTCATGACATTACTTGATACTTGATTGTTTTACGTGATCATACACATCGTATAATCATTATCATGATTCCATGACGCGTGTCATTATATCACATAGATCATAAGAACATTCTTGATCAAACTATCGATACATGTCATTATCGCAATAAATAGTACGATTCCATAGATATGACAACAATAAGTATTGTAACATGCTACCTATACCTTAGATACTGTCAAAATCATTTAATAGTTTTACAAAACGTTAAAGACGTTCACGTAATTTGATCATATCGAACGTTACGTTCACCTGGCAACAGTAGACAAGTGTGTCCGATTACCCCATTACAGATTATAGTCGTGAGGATATATTTTTTTAAAAGACCTGACGAATGTTTATTGTGGCGTAACTGCACCTATCTTCTTTGCATGTATATTTTAAGCCATAAAATAAGCTCATAAAGCCTATTTCTACTTGTGCTAAAAGTTTTTGCTGGATCAATCAGTTTTTGCTCCACAAAAAAATTGCAGCTACTTCAAACGTTATTAAATTAATATGGTACCAATATGGGAGTCTAATCGACTGCAAAAGGAATATTGTGAACAGCTTCAGAATTGGTATATAATCACTGAATATAACTACAAATCAACTAAAAAAACTTCAAACGTATTGAAAACCTGCTTCCTTTGAAACTCGTTCTAAAACTTTTTCGCGACTAGAACGCATCTTAAGCAATTAAGTAATCCGACCATGGAGTAATAGAGATAGATAGATAATCTAATCTATCCAAGGTATACAAAAAACATTAATGAGCTATAATAATCTTAACACCAGGATCAGGTTCTCCAGCGACGTCTTTAGCGAGCGGCGCGTTGCCACACATACGGAAGTTCTTCGTGTATGGTATAACACCAACCAGGAGACCAGAGATTATCACCCAGATACCAGCCACGTAGAACGCGGCATCCCAATAGCCGGTCGAATCACGAAGAGCGCCTGAAAATAGGAATTGGTAGCTTTTAATATTATGTTTTTATGATAGAATGGGGAACAAGCTAACGACCCACTTTTGATAAGTGGCAACCGTCGACTATAGATATGAAATGCACCATACACATGGTACCCTGGGTGTATGTGTTGCCATTCCTGAGACCTAATAGGAAATAGATAACCTAAAAACAGTACTAGATCCAAAATAATATAAAGTGGCAACCGTTTAACAGACAATTCAAAGTCACACTGAGAGATGGAGAGACGTATGCTTGGTGTTTCTAAAAGAAATAATATCCGAAATCGAAAGCTCTAATGGAAAATCAAAGTGACCCACTTAGCTCTCAAACTCTATATACCAGCCAATAGTCACTTTCTTTCAAGCTGAAGTGACACTAAGCATATATCTATCAAATGAGAGATGGTAAATAGAAATAAAAGGATTGGCTTTGATTGAATTTTCCTCATAAACCAAACCTGCATTGGATTGGAATAGGCTGATGATGATAAAGAGTCACCGTCGACAGACATCAATAAAACATTCTATTCATTGTTACTCTTTTCGCCTCTTGCCACATTCTGGGCATGAAAAGAAGTGATGAAATATTGTATTTATACTATGCTAACGAATATAATGTCATTATGAAATTGGCATAATTTCAAATTACTCAATAATAACTATGGAGTTACTATTGAAATAAATTCCAACAAATCGATATTGAAATTGAGACGTTTCGCACTCTCTAATTGCAATACTAGCGAAATAATGGTTCTATATTGTTCTGATAGATGCATATTATAGTAACTTGCCAATGTAGACTACTGTAAACCGATCCCAATTATAACCTTATTCCTAACTCTTGTTTCATGAGTGCTGTATAAAATTATCATTGGCTATAGACTGGACTTATATTGATATCAGATTCAAGAATAGACCTGCTGGTAACTTAATTGAAGGAACTAAATATAGATAACTAAATGCTATTATATCTATGGAACTGAACTAAAATGAGTTACTCACCAGCCATGGGTGGTCCAACTAAATGCCCCACGCCCTGGCTCAGTAGTACCAAACCATAAGCCATTGTGAAGCGTTCCAGAGCGATTAGTTCCACCAAGATACTTGGAGTATAAGAGTAGGAGCTGGAGAACATGAGACCGAACATAACAGCATTCACGGCTATTATGTAGAAACTGTAAGGCTGCTTTGCATCCAACAGGCTAATCAGTATAGGAAAGAGAATGATGTTTATCCCGCAAATGATGAGGCATAGTGCATAGGTTTTGGTGATGTTCACCCATGGTAGATCGCCTATCCAGCCAAGACCCACCTGAAAATAATAGAAGATATTTTAAATTATTTATGGATTGAACCACAAATAAAAGCGAATTTTATGGCATCGCCCAAATGATATCAGTACTCGTGGCTAGTTCCAAAACCTGTATTGGTCATATCATATGTATTATGGTAATCAGGTTACGTTGAAACATAGGTTTTTTTTTTTTACAACAGAGGGGGCAAACGAGCATGCGGCTCACCTGATGGTAAGTGACTACCGCCGCCCATGATCACCCACAACACCAGCGGCATTGCAGGTGTGCTGCCGGCCTTTTAAAAAGGAATATACTCTTTTCTTGAAGGTTATGTTGTCGTATCGGTTCGGAAATACTGCTGCTGGAAGTTGATTCCAAAGAATGGTTGTGCGTGGAAGACCGCCACTCGTCCAGATGATTGGGATGAAACTTTAGTTTGTGGCGGATTGTGTGCGTATCAAAGGACATTGAATTACATTCAGTATTACCTATTTCCAATAAGATTTTCATATGATTAGCATTGTTCAGAATCAAAAGAAAAATGGGCTAGATCTTCACTTTTTACTACATGTTTACCCACGTAAACATGTAGTAAAAAGTGACTAAGGGAACCTAATGGTCGAGGGATGGGCAACAGCGTCCTTCTTAAAACATCACCAAAGCCTAATTGCGATTGCCAACCCGCCTGTCAACTACTAGCAAAGCATAGCAACAACTGGCAAAACCCGCCAATAATCTAATATTCACTAGAGTTAACAGCTGATATGATGATTCAGAATTATATCACGTCCCTTGTGAAAGTTTGAAAGTTGAAACGATAGTGGGGCCAATCAATTGATAATTTCGTTAAATTACTGTTTTATGGGCCCTCATAAACTAAATTTATGATAATTTTAATTTAAACCTATAAGAAGAAGAAAAAATTTAATTCATATTGGTCCCTAGATTTAAAACATCCCTGTGATATCTAATTTAAAATTTAGAGATAAGTAGAGATAGCACCACATAATTAGACCCATTGTTTACACTATCACTGTGTGTTTGAATTTCTTTCTGTATGTCGTGCATGAAACCTATGGCCGCGATATGTTAATGGTGAAACTATCACAATGTCGATTACTCACGCTCGCTCGCGCGAACTAATTGATTCTGCTCCCATTAGGTAATTCTTTCTCAAAACTCTTATCACATTGTTGTCTTAATGTTAAAAATTAATATCAACAACAAGGCTATCAGAGTTGTCCGTAATTTATACGGACTCGTTTGATAAAGCGGAAAAACGTGATAAAATGGATCACGTCATATTATACTATGTTAACATTCTCTTATCAAGAGAGTTGATTGATGTTAATGAAATGTCAATTTGTCCACGTGGTCAAGTTATTAGAGGAACTAATAAGTAATTTCCTACTGTTGAAATTAGTGAAGAGAAAATCGAGTTTGAGTAGAGAAAAGAAATAGAATACACTCAGACCAACGATTTCAGCCATCTACAAGTATCATGCATCGTGGAGTAATGCAGTTTTTGTAATCATTCACCAAACGATTTAATAGATACGTGAATTACAAAATTTAACATTGCTACATTTTTTATAACATTAACAATATAGATATAATAAAAAGAACAATTTAATTCTACAAAAAATACACTTATCTCAATAGATTTTGCTGATTTTAATTGTAAATTGTAACTTATTGCAATAAAATTATAATTTGACTATGTCTGTATATGGGAAATATTTTTAAGAAAACATTGATATTGTGGGTCTTAACAAGAATAGAGCAATGTAAGTCAAAACAATATTTTTTAGAAATTTTATTTGTTTGTTAGTATAGTTATTCTGCAAAAATACTGCACGAAATTGAATGCGGTTATCACAGTTGTATTCTCTAAGGTCTAATTTAAAAAGTTTTACACCATCTAGAAGTGTAGTATTTTATTGGTTTTCTTATTTCTAAAATCCACCAGTACGAAGTAGCAGGCAAAAAGCTATTTTTTAATATTTTGAAGAATTAACGATGTACTGCTACTTATAGCTGCATTATGTCATGCATGCATTTCTTCTATATACAGACTTTAAAAATATAAAAAAAAATTTAACATGTACTTAATGAGATTACTTACAATCCCAATAATACTGGCAACACCAAACAGCGAAAGCATCCACGAACCGTCCGCCTCCGCGAATCCATTCATTTGCATAAAGTTGGAGATATAGAAGTAGGGCACGATGAACCAGATGAACAATACCAGCGTAGATAGATTCATCATGAGAAAGTGGAATTCGGTGAACATATTGAAATCAAACGTCTTGTTTATCATATCCCATAAGCGTCTGCCCCATGTCTGAAATAAAAACGTATCCTCTTTGTAGGCATCAATTTTTCGAACAAACTAAAATACTGCTACTGTACATAAATCATAATATTCTTTATTTAACTCTCCAATACAAATGTACTAGTTCGTTAAGATTACGCTCTCAGCGTGAGAAATCAAATGAACTCGACGGGTTATGCAAATCAAATTCTATTATGATTCATGTAAGGTAGGGTTTTAAACCGACACGACCGTATTGAAACAGGTAAAGAGAATCAGTAGCAACATCGAACAAGACATTTACATTTATTTCCTTTCTAAAAAGATTAACATAAATTAATATGAAACTCATTATGGTTCATAAAACATATTGTAATTATTAAAACTGCTAATCATCTAAGTATCTTTCTCCGTACAAAATGAACTTGAGAAGTTACAAAGTCAGAAAACTTCAATTTAAGATACAAATTGTTTAAAAGCATACGCAAAATTTTATAGAAAGACATATTTATAACATAATTTCACCAAAAACCAAATAAGATGTTGGATAGTATATTTAATAAAGTATATAAAAAACTTACCTTTTCTTCCTGATCTTCCATTGACCACATAGAATTTCTATAAATATCAGGACACGATGATGCGCGCAATTTGTATTTTGCAATATTCATCATAGCTCCTCGGTGCATAATTGAATTTCTATGGACCCTTAAATCTCTCAAATAATGATGATCAGTGGATAATTGTCTTGTAAACCAATCCTGTCTCGAACATGCTGTTTCTTTGTTCTCTGGAATAGGCTGAAGAAGTTTCTCTCTTACTTTTTCTAATTTTTTCTCAAAATCTTTCTTGTCTTTCTTGTTGAGCTTCAACTTCATAGACATTGTTACAGGTTTACCTTTAGAAGCTTCAGGTGATGGCTCAATAGGAAGTCTCTGTTCTGAATTGCTTCTCAAAGCTAATAAAGATGGGTAGTTTTGTAGAACTATATTATATAAACGTTTGTTAGATGTAACTAAATCTAATACTTCGGCTGGAACCTGAAAATGCAAATAATCGACATTACTTATATATATAAATTAACAATTAACAAGTATATAATTTCAGAGTATACATAGAGAATGGAGTAAAATAAAATTTAACAAGGCAACTGGCAACAGGCATTCTGAACCAATAATTTGTATAATCTAATTTGCTTGTCGGTTTATACAAACTCCTAACTAATATAGTTAGAAATATAGTTACCTTTTCACTCTGTCGCAAGAATGTCGGTAAATTGATTACCGAACTAACTTTATGCTGTGACATATCTGTATTTCTCTTAGTAGCTGCTTCAAGATGTTCTTGTTCTGCTATCGAAGTAACAAGAGTCGTTAAAATGTATTCAGGTGTTTCGCCACTTTTCATTAGTGATTTAAGTTCTTCAACACCAGGATATACAGATTCTCCTCCACCAGACTTAGCTGATATCGAAACTGAACTAGATGCTTTCTTGGCTTGATTCAACTTCCTTTGTTTCTTTTGTTCTAAGATTAACCACTCAGGATCTCTCATAACAGCACCACAAATACACACATTAAGTACAGTACCAGCAAGGAGTAATAAGGCACCTCTCCATCCGTATTCGTCTAATAGATAAGTAGTAAGAGGAGAATATATAAAAGTTCCAAATCCAACTCCACATGATCCTAAACCTACAGCCAAATTGCGTCTTTTTTCAAACCAATAGGCTATTGAAACTACAGCTGTAACATATAGAAGACCCATACCAATACCAGCCATGAGTCCGTAAGTAACATACAAGATTTCAACAGAATTACTATATGATGCAGCTACAAACCCAATTGTAGATGCTACTCCACCAACAATCGTCATCTTTTTACATCCGTATCGATCTACTAAAGCACTCATAATGGGTCCTAATATGAGAGGAACGGAAATGAATAAACTTCCAATGAGAGAAGTTTTCGCTTCACTCTGCTCAAAGTATTCGACAAATTTTTCGTGCATCAACCCATAAGAAAATGCAAGTCCATCTGCTACAGTAGCAATCAAGAAAGAAGCAGCTACGACCACCCATCCCCATCCACCATCTGGTATTTGGGGTGCTTGTTCCGGGGGCGGTTTACTGGAGCAGATACTGTCGCCATCTCCCAATCCCAAAAACTTAACGCCTTCATTATTCGAGATCGCATCTTCGTCACCTTTCTGGTTTTTCTGATAACTTACACTGAGACTATCTTTAGGTTGTTCTGTATCCGTTTTCATAGAATTGACTTTGTTGAGATCATTTTTAGGTTTATTTATATCTCTTACGCCATATTTTTCATCTTTTTCTGCGTCAATATACTTAAAGTCATTCACTTTACTAAGGAGCGGAGACGTAGTCTTCTCCTCTTCAGACGGTACTTTGTGCTCATATTTGATTGTTCTTTCTTTACCTGGAACTCCATTTGCGTAGGCTCTTTGAGAGTCCATTAGTTTCTTATAGGAGTTTTGAAATAGTACGCGTTCAGTTACGTACTGGGTTGTCTCTAAATCAGTCACTCAGAGAACGAAGCTAACTACCAAATGTGGTTATAAAACGGATTCTACGTAGAGGAAATAATGAATTCTCTAGACCAGTGTCTTAATCTTGGATCTCTCGCAGAATAACGACAGGGTTTCTTAGATATATAGAGTTTTTTGGTGCAAATATTGTAGCTTATCGAGTACATCAAGGACCGGCTAGTCCTCGATCTTACAGTTTTAAATTCTTCACTTTTATTTGATTTCTTACTCCGAACTGCTATAGTATTCCTTCTTGACATGAAGATTTAAAGTTTTGCGACAATCATTTCACTAATGCTGCGGACGCTGCGATAAATTCTGTAACAAAAGAAAAACTAATTAATTAAGGAAATATTAAAAACCAACTAATGGAGACCTCCCCGTTCTACATAAATTCACACGTAAGACTGGGGGAAGCTGTACCTTTTGTTTCACTCGGCAGATTTTTATTAATTTTCACATAATGCCGTAACAAACAGGAATCAAAATAGTCAAATACGAGTTGCAGTTACACATATCCGTACATAAATAAACAAATATGACATAAAATGACTTTTTATTACATTTTTCATACGAAATATATACCTAACAGTTATTATCATTTATACTACAATTCATAATTTCTTATTTTGGGCCATAATTTCGGTTAAAAACTGGAACAAGTTTAAATTTGTTTGTGAAGGTTTTTCGATAATTTCTCAAAAACGGTGCTAATTAGAAACATTGTTTTATTTTTTCTGTAATATTTAATGTAATTCTTTCACATTTCTCGCTTCAGAAACTTCGAAGACAAGGAGCTCTTCTCTATTAAAGTTTTTTTTTCTCGCATTTCCATTATAATTTAAAATCTACGCAGCAAAAAAAAAAAACAATATAAATTAGTTTAAAAATGTATAAATGAAACCCTTTTATATGATCTTCAACTCGGACTAGTAGGCCCAATTCTAAAATTTTTGGTACCCCATTTGAACCCTTAGCAAATAAAATAAATATATTTTTCAGTTATTTCCACTGCAATATGTGCGGGCTAATGGTATATAAAACTATTCCAAATTTTAAATCGATAATATTAGTAGTTAATGAGATATGACACTGTAACAGACGGACGGACAGATAGACGGACAAAGTCACACGATAAGAGTTTCTGTACACAGGTACAAAAGGTACACCTTTTGTTACTGTACCATAATCTTTTTTTTTTACATCACCTGATGGTAAGTGACTACCGCCGTGATCATGGATCACATCAATACTTAAAAAATAGGCTAATTTAGATTCTATTGCTTATTATACTGCTCTTGCTTCTATAGCTAATTTTTTTGCCCAATAGACCCCGATGACTTTTGGACGATTTTCAACCGACTTCAAAAAGAAAGGAGAACTTTCTTCTTTTATTAGGTTGTATTTTTTTATGTTTATTACCTAATAACTCCGTCAATTCTAAACCGAAAATTCTTTTTTACCTAAAAGGATATGCTTACAGATTGGTCCTATAGATATATTATTCAAATCGCTAATCAGTAATTTAGTTGTTAGTTTAATGTCCATGGTACTGCTCATGTTTATAGGCGACGATTACCATCAGATGGGCCGTCAGCTTGTTTGCCATTGTAAGTTGCATAAAAAAAAAACTCATTTTTTTTTTTTGAGAGACACTCTTTTTAAATTGAGGTGGCAAACAAGGATACGGTCCACCTAAGGGCAAGCAGTTACCGTAGCCTATGAACGCCTGCTATACCAGGAGCATTACGCGCGCGTCGCCGACCCAATCTTTAATTAATGCCATAAGACAATCTCCATTTATTTACAAAGTAGATACTAATTCCTTTATACACACGCTGTGATAATGGCTTGATAATGTCACTGGTAGCAACCGTATGTGGGTAACTACGACATACCTACTGCAGTTATCAGCAGTTAATTGTACATGCACCAGTGAAGTTGTGATAACGTTTGGTTGTGTTTACTTGGGATTTGTTACAGTTTTTGAACAACGAGTACTGGTTAACAAGCCGACGGCTCACCTGATGGCAAATGGTATCTGTTTGTAGAGACAATACAATGGGCATTACAAAATATACTGTAACAACCACGGTACAGTCACCAGAGGGAGTCTTTGTACAAAAATCGTTTGCTTGAGCACCTCTGTTCCATACGTGTTTTTAACGTGAAGCAATTGTGTTTGCATGGCTGTGTTTCGGTTTGAAATGTGGGATATGGAATTTACAGGGTATAGAGGAATAACACCTAAGTCCTCAGAAATGGCAACGCATGGGGGGGTATCATGGGCGAAACAGTATACTCTGTTATGTCCATGGTACTGCTCATGTCTAAAGACGACGGTTAGCACTTTCCATCAGGTAGGCCGACAGTTTGTTTGCTATTCTAAGTTGAATAAAAAATAAACATTTCATGCGTTGCCATTCCTGAGAACTATGGTGTTAAATTAATCGTATACTCAGTTTAAGTTTAAGATCTTGAATTATTCAAACATTGTAAGACACTTGCAGTTCATACTAAAGTCATAATATTATAAAACAGATATTTTTTTAACAAAAATATATAAAACATTAGCTCCTATAATATTGAAATCCGGCAAAAAAACTAGTAAGTTTTTTTTTTTTTTTTTTTTATGAGTAAAAATGGTATGGTAACCCCGCCCGCCTGCACTAACGGGATACGCTGGCGGAGCACCAGTGAAGGGTGACAGATGAGAATGAAAACTGACCAGTTAGCCCATCATGATGAATTCATCACGAATTAACCATGATAGTTTCCAGGGGGAACCGCGAGGAGCTCGACCTGGTTGGGTATATTGCTAGCAATGGGATTCTCCGTGTCCATTACTAACAATCCCTTTCTCCCCAACTAGTAATAGTTTATTTATTTATTTTATTTGGAAAACATAACAGATAACAATAAAAAATGTACACAGTTAATTATAGACGTACGAGACATTGGACAAGATTGATATCCTAAAACGTATAGCAACATGATTGAGATGCAGTTTAATTAAAATTAACAATGACAACTAGTTAAAAATCACTGAAACAATTCAACGTGAAATTTTATATTTATATATAAATATCAAACATATATATAATAAAGTTAAAAGAAAAACATAGACCTATATAAAGTTACAAGTAGTATCAAAATTCTTATTATAATAGTGTTTAAGACCAGACAACAGTTAGGGCATCCAATATTTAAGGCGAGAGAACCACTCTATATCACGTTTCTCATATTATAATTTAGATTCACGTTTCGTACAAAGCATCACACAGTCCAATATAAAACATAAATTTAAAAGTATTTTTTAAACCACCTGCTGTATATTCATTTCATGTAATTGTATAAACAATAATTTGTATTCGAATTTCAAAATAAGAATATTTGGCATTCCAGATAGGTCTCTATGGTCTTTGGTATACTTGTTTATTCTCGTTTTATAGCCAAAATAAATTAATAAATAAAAAAATATAGAGGTTTATTTTATACCATCAAATTGGGGGAAAAGGATTGTTAGATTGATATGCGGTCTCATTACTAGCAACATACCCTATCAGGTTGACGTCCTCGTCATTCCCTCTGGAAACGTGAATTGTTAATGAACTCATCACAATAGACTAAATGACCCATTTTTGTCCTCACCTATCATCTCTCTCTGGTGTCTTGCTAGTAGATACCAATAGCACAGGCAGGATTACTATTTCATTAACATCGACTAAAAAAACCTCAAATTTATATCTTTCAAACTGAAACTCAGCTATTCAAGCCTAAATGATTGACTGTGAGAAACATGATTGTAATAAAGATACCCAAACAGATGAATCTTATACTAAAGTCTCTTTTTTTCTTCTCTTTTATATATAATTTAACATACTCCTATAAAACAAAGAGATTTATATCTTTGGTAAAACGAGTAAATAATGAATGATTGTACATACATACATACATACATATCTGTCACGCCTGTCTCCCATTAGGGTAGGCAGAAACAATGGAACGCCAAATGCTTCGATTCAAACAAACCTCTGAATGAATGATTGTGTCCCACAAAAAAAACAGAAGTCAATTGTAGCAAAACCAATTATTTTAATTTTATATCTAAACCACTGAACTAAATTAAATTTCTATGGAACCAGTTTAAGTATATTCTTTCAGATAAAAAAAAATTTTTTAAATCGGTTTACAACTGACGGAGTTATGAGGTAACAAACATAAAAAATACAACCGAATTGAGATCATTCTTTTTTTGAAGTCGATTGAAAAGGAAATATTTCGAAGATAAATATAATACTGAGTTAGGTATTACCAATGACTTATTATTTTTCTAGTAAAAACAAGTTTAACGAGCAGGGGACGCGCCTAAAAAGTGATTTATTCAAACATTAACCTCCCCGAGAATTAATGGAAGTTATAAATAGATAGACATTCTGAGAATGTCCTCGAATTTTACCTTGACATGATATGAAATAGCGTAGCGGTTGGAAGCTACCAATGGTATACGTTTCATAATTCTACACTTAAAAAGAAGGGTAAATATGCAGTACACTACAAATATATATATATATATATATATATATATATATATATATATATATATATATATATATATATATATATATATATATATATATATATATATATATATATATATACCGTTTCGCCCATGATATCCCCCATGTGTTGCCATTCCTGAGGACTCAGGTATTATTCCTCTAAACCCTATAAATTCACTACCATATCCCACCCTTCAAACCGAAACATACCCATGTAAACAAAACTGCTTCACAGTAGAAACACGAATGGAACAGAAGTGCCCAAGCAAACGACTTTAGCAGAAAGTCTCCCTCTGGTAAAAGTTAATCTTAAGTATACCTAGTAAACTGTTAAGTCCGCCAAATGTACATAGAATTTTACTGTGCATTAAAGTTTAAATATATATATTTTATTATCTATCATCACAAGATCATGGTCGTATGGTCCTGGCATGCAATAGGCTACCCCTTCCTTTCCCGTGGGTGTCGTAAGAGGCGACTAAAAGAGGGCTAGAGATGGGCAGCAGCGTTCCTCTTAAAACAGCTCTAAAGCCTAACTGCGGTTGCCAATAGCAAAACCGCCCAAGGGGAAGGCTTATGTTCAGCAGTGGATAGTTAAAGGCTGATATGATGATGAAGCCTATTATCCGCTGTGTGGTCCCGGCATAGAATACACCACCCCTTCATTTCCCCTGGATGTCGTAAGAGACGGCTAAGAGAACTTAACAGTAGAGGGAATGACAACAAGGACCCTGTTAAAACATCACTATAAGCCTA